GTTCTAATTATGGATGACTGAAAAAGCTATCAATAACTTCTGTAATATCTAATGCCTTAGCGACATGTGCAGGAGGAAAACAATATTAGAGCTGCTGCTTGACTGATTTGAGCTGAAACCTCCTTCATACCACCTAGAGGGATGCTGCTAGAAAACAGAAGGAATGATCCAAATTATAGATACATGAACTTATACAAATACAGATCCCCTTCCAGACAATCTGAATCGCTGATGCACAATAAGGCAGCGTTTTTCCAGATCTAAGTTGATATTAGAACCCTAAAAATGCAGTTGGTCATATCTGAAAAACTAAACTGCTATGCAACCTACCTTCAAACATGAGCATCGTTACACCTACCACCAAAATCACATTCTGTTTATTTAACAGTATGAAAAAATAGGGAGAAATTTAGATTAGTGAATTATGGACACCAGCCCCATTTCATCAGTAGGGAGAGCATGGTAGGCAGTTGTTATTATTCATATCCTTTCTTATTCACAATAGAAGACAATCCTTACCTCAAAAATATAACCCGATTTGTGCATTAAAAAGTTTCAGTACTGCATTTCTCAAAGTCATCAGCATGTTCACAAACAGCGCACAGGAAAATTGGTTCAGTGTTCCAATAAACAGAACCAAGGTCACTGTCCAAAGAGTTTTAAAATGCCTCCCTTGATGGGATCCATCTGGATTGCTTTTGCTTACAATTACCTTGAAAGACCTGAACTGGCCTGGCTATAGCCAGGGCAGTCGCAGAGCTATCAATACTCACAGCAATACGTATGCCCTAGGGAAGACCTCTATATCTTGTGAAAATAATTTAAGGGCTGACTTTGAAAGTCTGGTGCAGAAATTAAAAAGAGAAGTAAAAAGGAAGACGTTGTAGACATTTCATAGTCTACAGCGAGTTTCATTGAGCTTCCTCTAATGATAACAGTCACTCAGTACACACGCAAACACTTACTGTCTTGACAAAACAGACTACTCAATTTCACTTTCAGAGGGATTCTAAATTCAATCACAATTTAAAACTCTGAAGCATTATACATCTTGAATAGAATAACAATTTCAATTCAAACCATTCAGTTAAAACCATTAATGCACTCTACATATCTGCATGTAATTTGAACACTTACTGATTGATAACTTCTATACAGGAACAAGAGAATTGTGAAGGCTCCAACAATGCCAGCGCAAATGACTATTTCCCACGGGAAACCATACAGATTGGGACCAGGTCTCATATCTTCAGGCAGTGAAGCCACAGCCTGAAAAAATAAAGTAAAAAGCTTCATCTAAAGGAAAAGAGATTGATATTTTCAACAGAAATAAACACTACATGTTGATTAGTTTCCTTCTAAGGCTTGTACATCTATTTTTTTTCCAAAACTCTACAAAAACGGTTAACAGAAGCCTTTGATTTTTAAATTACACATTTACCAAGCGAAGAAAAAAAATAAGAAAAGTTCCAACAAGATATGATGACAGCTAGATAAAGCTCTGAAAACTTTTTCTTCTGAACCTATCAATTACGGTAAATTCTCCTTTGAATTGTCTACACATTTCACTGTTAGAAGAATCAATACTAATAAGTATTTTATTAATTACCTGTAGAAGATTTGTCTTCTAGAAAAACCTGCTGAATTTTTTCGCTGAACCAACTTCACGCTAAAATAACGTACTGAACAGAGTCAATATTTTCAAACTTTTTAAGCATTTAAATACGCTCGCATTTTATTTGTAAACGGGTATCACTATTTTCTCAAAAATATAACCTGCCCAACGTAGCTCACGTTTGCTACGTGCGACCTGTGTTTAAGAACGCGTTACCGTGCAGGAAAGCCTTCATCTCCATTTCTTGAAGAGAACGGCCAGACGACCCCCACCTCAGGCCAAGCGGGGTGGGCGCGCGTGTGTGCGGAATCAGGGCGCCCTCCCTTCGCTGCTTCGGCTTTCTGAGACCTCTGTTACTCTCGAAGGAACGGACAGCCTCAGCAGGACCCGCCGGGCCCGGGGTCCCGGTCCCCCGCCGGCTCTGGGCAGGCTGCCGGGCCCCGCCGCACGCCGGCCAGGCACAGCCCGGCTCTACGCCGTGCGCTCCGGTGCGGGGCCGGTTCTCTCAGACCCGAGCCCCTCGCCACCCCTGGCAGCGCCGTTTCCCCCAACGCTGCGGAAACAGGACCGCGGCCCTCGCGGGGGTCCGCCGGAGCCGGCCCCGGGCGGAGGCGGGTCCCGCACTCACCCTGCGCGCCCCCTCCAAGGCCAACCCGCAGTAGCGCTGCGCGCTCTCCCGCAGGCCCAGCCACAGGCTGGCGGTGGGGACCCACAAAAAGACAC